CCTGAGAGGGAAAGAAAGGCTTGAAAAGGGCAGAAAGCACGAGAAAGCCAGAAGGGAACGTGGGGCATTCCCAGAGGTAAAGGGACAGTCTGGTCTTTAATTTCCACATCAGTGACTTTTCCTCATCAAAGACTGAGCTGCTCAAGTGAGCACAGTATCTGAGTGTTAGAGAGCTGTGTACTGACCAAGAAAGTCACCACAGACAGGAGACATGAACATGGTAAGTAGGTTTTATAAAGGAATACAGACTGTGTAAGATACAGTCCGTATTACAAGGATGCAAATGTCAAACTGCAAGGTTTAAAAAGGGCTAGGAATGTAGCTGAGTTGGTAGAGTGTCCTCTCAACACAGGTGTGTATGAAGTTCTGGGTTCAATCCCCAGCACTGCATACACTGGGCATGATAGCTTTTGACTGTAATCCCAGCACTTGGGAAGTAGAGGAAGGAGAATCAGAAGTTCAAGGTCATCCTCAGCTACATTTCAGATTAGTCTGAGGTTATAGTCTCAAACCAAACTAGTTGCAGGGGATGATGGGGCATGCCTTTAATCCCAGCAGAGGCAGGTGGATGGATTTCTGTGAGTTTGAGGCCAATCTGGTCTACATAGAAAGTTCTAGGCCAGTTGGGGCTACAGGGAGACCCTGTATCAAAAAGACAAAAAACAAAAACAAAAAAACCAAACTAGCTAAGGCATGGTGGCACACACCTTTGATCCTAGCACTGTGGAGGCAGAGGCAAGCATATCTCATAGAGATCATGGTCAGCCTGGTCTACATACAGAGCTGTGGATATAAGGAGTCTCTGTCTCAAACAAAACAAAACAAACAAACAAACCAGGGCTGGGGAGATAATAAAGGCTCCTGCTGTCAAACCTGAGGACCTGAGCTCAATCACCAGGACCCACATGGAAAGACAGAACGAATTCTTACAAATTGTCTTCTGACTTCCACAGAGTACCATGTGCTTATTCTTTCTCTCTCAATTTATGTGTATGAGTGTTATGCCTGCATATAGGTAAGTGCACCTGTGTCATGCAATGCCCGCGAGGACAGAAGAGGCCATCGGATTCCCTTGAACTGGAGTTACAGTTGTTAGCTGCCATGTGGGTGCTGGGATTTGAACCCAGGTCTTCTGCAAGAACAACCAGTGTTGACTGTTGAGCCATCTCTCCAGCTCCGCCGCCCTCTTTTTTGGTTTTTTTTTTTTTTTTTGAAACAGGGTCTTCCTGTAGCCCCAGCTGGCTTGGAATTCACTATGTAGACCAGGCTGGCCTTGAACTCAAGAGATCCGCCTGCCTCTGCCTCCCAAGTGCTGGACTATAGGTGTGCACCATCCCACCCGGCCTCCACCTTATTTTTTGAGACAGGGTCTCTCCCTGAACCCAGAGAACACAGATATGGCTAGACTGGCCATCTAGCCCTAAGAATCTTCTTGTCTCTGCTAAGATTACAGGTATGTGCTGTTGTACCCAGATTTTTATGTGGGTTCTAGGGGATGATACACAGATCTGCATGCTTGCATTGAAAGCACTCTACTGAATAAATCATCTCCCCAGCCCCTGGTGTGGCTAGATTTCAAAGAAAAGCAACAACTTTTAAATATGATGTTAAACTGAAAGATCTCTGTAGTATTTAATATTCAATTTTCATATCAAGTTCTATTTCAGGAACACAGTAATCTCAAGGCAAAGACTAAGCTCTACTACCCTTACCCTGTTTTTTAAATATGACGTATTTGTGTATGGGTATGTGCACACAAGTACAGATGCCCACGGAGGCCAGAAGAGGATGTCAGGTATTTTGGCAGTTGTGAACTATTCAATGTGGGTGCTAGGAAACAAACTCATGTCCTCTACAAGAGTAGTTCACACTCTTAACTGTTGAGTCATCTGTCCAGCCCCCTACTCTGCTTCTGAGTCGCAGAAAACCAAATGTGAGCCAGGCATGGTGACACATACCTCCAATTTTAGGACCTGAGAGGCAGAGGCAGGAAGATTAGGAATTCAAAGTCATCCTTTGTTATATAGCCAGTTTGAGGCCAGTCTGAGTTATTTGGGACTCTGTCTTAAAAAGAAAATCTGTTGTCGGGGCTGGAGAGAGGGCTCAGTGGTTAAGAGTACTAACTGCTCTTACAGAGGACCTGGGTTCAATTCCCAGCACCCACATGGTGGCTATGAACTGTCCTTAACTCCAGTTCCAGGGGAATCCGAAGCCTCTTCTGACCTCCATGGCATTGCACGACACAGGTGCACTAGCATGCAGGCAATACACTCATACACATAATATAAAAATAATAAATAGGGGCTGGAGTGATGGCTCAGCAGTTAAGAACACTGGTTGTTCTTGCAGAAGACCCGGGTTCGAATCCCAGTACCTACATGGCAGTGATATTAGTGGTTATTTTTTTCTGAGATAAGTAAGAGTCTTTCTATGTCACCTAGGTCGCCCTTGAACTCCTAGGTTCAAACAGTCTTCCTGTGTACCTGAAATTGCAGGTGTACACCACTTCACCCAGTTCTGGTTTTAAGACTTAGTGTGTATTTCAAAAGAAAGTCATTAAGACACCAAACTTGTGATTTTACTAATATTAATGGTCAGAATGAAGTAAGCTGAAAAGGTATGATACTTTCCCCCTCTTCCTGTATTTTTTGGGACAATCTCATATAGCACAGGCTGGCCTCAAGTTTCTGTTCCTCTTGCCTTTGAGGGGCTACGATTACAGATGTGCACCACCATTCCCAGCATGAAAAAATGCATTTCAAATAGACTTAAAACATGAAACATGGCTCAGTGGTAGTGTGCCTGCCTAGCACTCACAAGGTCCTTAGTTCAACTTCTGGGTTCAGCACCAAAAAAACAACCTCCCTGTACTAAACTGTTCATGGCGACATAGAGCTAATAATCCTACCACCTGGGAAACTGAGGCAGAAGAATAGGGAGTTCCAGGCCCAACATTCAGTTACTAAGTGAAACCTTGCCCCACCACCCCAAATTAAATAAAATGCAAAGCCAAGATGGCTAGCTCAGTGGGTAAAGGAACTGAGCGTGCTGCCAAGCCTGATGACCCAAGTTCAATCTCCAAGACCCACATGGTGGAAGGAGAAAAGAGACTCTCAAAAGTCATCTTCTGCTGGATGTAGTGGCACATGCCTTTCATCCCAGCACTTGGCAGGCAGAGGCAGGAGGATCTCTCCAAGACTGAGATCAGCTTGGTTTACATAGCGAGTTCCAGGCCAGCTGGGGCTACAGGGAGACTGTCTCAAAAAGATCCCCACTCAAAAAAATTATCTTCCCATCTCCATGTATGTGCACACATAATAACAAACAAGTAAAACCATATTCCAGCAGGCAACCCAGTTTCTTTTAACTGACTTTCTTATCTGTAAAACTGGGAAGGGAACAATGCCTACTGCCCAGAAATGATGTAAAGATGAAAATATACAAGGAGTGTTCTGTTTCCCACATCACCTGACTGTGGCAAATATCAATTGATACTAGCTAGGATAAGTACTTGAGGTCAGAAGAGGGTGTTGGATTCCCGTGGAACTGGAGTTAAGACAATTCTTAGCAGCCATGTGGATACTGGGAATCAAACCCGGGTCCTCTGCAAGAGTAATCAGTGCTCTTAACCGCTGAGCCATCTCTCCAGCCCTGATTTTTCAAAACATTTTTAAGGCAGGCAGGGAAGCATGCACCTATAGTTCCTGCATTAGGGAGACTGTACACCTGCAATCTCAGGTATTCAGGAGGACTGCTTGAATCTATGAGTTCAAGGGTGGCCTGGGTGACATGAGACTCTCAGAGATCCATTTGCCTCTGCCTCCCAATTGCTAGGATTAAAGACCTGCATCACCATGCTGGCTAGCTAACAGATCTTTTATTTATTATTTTATGTGTATGAGTGTATTGTCCACATGTATATAAATGCACCTGTCTTATGCAAAGCCCGTGGAGGTTAGAAGAGGATGCTGAATTCCCCTGGAACTGGAGTTATGGACAGTTGTAAGCCACCAAGTAGGTGCTGGGTCCTCTGCAAGAGCAGTCAGTGCTCTTAACTGCTGAGCCATCTCTCTGGGCCCACAAGATCTTTTAACTCCTACAACTACCAGTTTTCTCAGGGAGCAAGTGAACAATATCAAATGGGATTCTGCTCAGAGGATACTGGATTAAAACAAGTCTGAAAGGCTTCTTTCCTGCCTGACCTCTCAGAGCCTGGAATAGGCCCATGTGCCACTAGGTGGTGGAAGATGGGCCAACACCCCTGAATTTACATGTTCAGAACCACTGTTTCACAGAGTATGTCATCGGCTGGTACTCAATGCAATCTCCACTGTGAAGTGCTACTCCAGAAATACCCCCAAATAGAGAGGTATTAGGGCACTGGTGAGAGAGGGTTAAGGCCTGGCCCACCACCCATGGGCCATGTGTTAGCTGTGGCCTCCAGAGAGGCTCCAGTTCCATGAGAACTGGCCTACCAGAGTTGCTTTGAGGATGTCGATCACAGTGAAGAGACAGAAGGCTTTCTTTTCAGCTAGAGAACCTGAGCCTCTTTAGGCCCAGTGGCTGAGCCTCAAGTTCTCAGAGTTAAAGGCAGGCCTAGGAATGGGGCTTCCCTAGAGAAAGATCTAGAATAACTGAAGCCTTAAAAGCCTGGAGAGGAAGGTTGCCATGATGTAAGATTCACACTAGCCATTCTGCAGCAACAGAGGAGGAACTTGAGCAAAAGCAGGTCTGGATTAGTTCTGTGGTACAGCAGCCACTACCAAGAATGAGAAGCACCAAAACTAAGGCTGCCACAATGCTTCCAGGTGTGCCCATGTTTGCAGTGACTTTGCAGTACGCAGGTAGATCGGGCAGGTAGTATTCTGGCAGAACTATATCTTCCTTCAGGAGCTTTGGGTGGGTTTAACTGTATCACCATCAGGTACATCAAGATGAAACCCCACCAGGGCCCCCCACTGCCTAGTCTTAGCAATCAACAACTCTGAAGACAACATCAGTTCTTCTCAAACAGTTTAATAGCAAATAAACAAAGGAAGGTACCACACTTGGCAGATACAAAATGACTTTTGTCCGTGTGTCTGTGCAATTAAAACAGATTTAGGTTCCTCATTGGGACAAAAGGAAAAACACACAAAAAAAGGAGAGTCCTTTTAAACACATACTCCTTTGCTCCAAACTTTTAACAACTTTTTTTTTTTTTAATCCACTACACAAACTGTGATTAGGTAAGAAAAGCGCTAAGGGCTCTTCTTGCCTTTTTTTAAAAAACCATTAAAGCAAAATCCATAATTTTCTACAGAGTACAACACAAGTTCACACAAAAAAGACATTTTCTTTTGCAAATCAAACAGGAAAAAAGGAAAGCTCAAACAAGGTCAAGGAAAAGCATTTCTACGGCTGAATCAAGACTTTGAGTTGATTGAATCCCGTTGTTGCTGCAGAACAGACTGTGCGTTTGGTCATAGTGGCAATTTTTTTTTCTCTTCACATTGTGAAATCACTTTACATTGTTTTCTAGTAGAAAAGGCAAAAAACTGTACAAAACCCCTAGTGTTAAATACAACGTTTGTACCAATAAAAAACTCACACAGGTTTGTCTCCAAAATGTAAAGTTTCTTTTTTTTTTCTTTTTAAATTATTCACAAAAAGCAGCTGGAAATCAGAAAGGCAGCTGCCACTCCAGGGTCTCAAATCCATTAAAACCACTACAGAACAATTAAAACAATCAGAGAAAAGGAAAAGGAAACAATGTCCAATGTTTGGCATTTGGTTTTATCCACAGGTTTTCCCAGAGCTCCTCTTGGAATTGAAAGCAAAATATATTGGCAAACATGGCCTCTCAATACACAGGAAGGGGAGCCTCAGCACCTCCTGCCAACAGAGGTGGCTCTGTGCAATCAGACTGTGGGGCGCACAGCAGCTCTCGGGCTGGAGCTTCAGGCCTCTTTCCATCCAACCGCTCCTTCCAAGACACTGAGCAGCCTAACATACACTGGGCCTCCACTTGGCTGCCCTTCTTATTCTTAGTAAGATGGCCTCAAGCATAATATACTGGGCAACCTGCAGGGTCCCAGAGCAGAAATTCTGCTGGAATCCCATTCTTCCATCAACCCTGGCATGGATGATGCTAGACAGTGCTTCTACCTTCCCCACCCCCACCCCCCAAGTCCCTTGCTGCACCTCACCACCCTTCCCTGGACAATCCTGCTTCCAGCTCTCTGTCCCACCAGTGCTTAGGTCTAGGTGGGATCTGTCCAACTCCTCCCTGCTACCTCTTCTCTCTACAGACCCACCCATATTCTCATCTCCTCTGGCCTCTCCCCTCTACTCACATTCTTCCTCAAGTCCCCAAGACCCTGAGGCTGGATGGTGCGACAAGAGAAGGGAAGTTCCCCTTCGGAAATCAAAGAACTGGCTGACCTGGCACCCAGGGACAGTAGCTATTTGGCTCTTCACCCAAATGAAATTCTTGCCCTTACCCAGACTCCACTAGCTAAGTAAGAGCAGAGCCATGGTGAAAAGCCAGTGTAGGGTGGTTGGTGCCCAGGGCTGTAAACAGTGTGAAGACTGTAGTATTGTGCTTGTCACCTAGGAAAAGCGCCGGCAGATGTATTGCCGTAGTGCGCAGACGGCCTCCTCTGGGTAGTCAGGAGCACCCTCCCTCCTGAGTGCTAGCCTTGATGTGCTAAGCCTCCTGCCCACCCACAGCCACCTTTGGTGCTAGCTCTAAGCAGAGCATCCAGCCTCCTGGATACCCCAGTGAGACCTGGAGGCCATATAAGGTGACAGTCTAAGTGCACAGGCAAACACTCTAAGAGCAATAGAGGAGAAAGTTGCCACTTCAAAATAAAACAGTACAATCTTGGAAAAAAAAAATCAACCCCATAACAATTTAAAACATCTTCTTTAAAACCCCCTTAAATCAGTCAGTTTTTGCACAAACTATAGAAAACAGAGAGGTGAAGGTGATATATATGAAGGTGTGAAGAAACATCAGGAAACATGCAAAACTTGTTTTTTCTGGGCATAATCTTAGTAGGAAAGAAAAAATTCAAAACAAAAAGACAAAAACAATACAAAGCCAAAAAAAAATTCAAAGCATCACATTTTGCTGCGGAGACTGTAGGAATAAGCATGGAGGTGAGCCAGCTGAGCTGAGGGGAAGGGGCAAGAGGACCCTCAGGCTTCCCTGCAGGGTTGCTTTGCAGGGCAGGGTTGCTTCGGGAAGAACTACAAAAGAAAAAGAAAAAAGACTGGCAGGGGCCCAAACCAAAGCCTTCGGTCAAAAAGGGACGGGGAATTCAGGTGTTTTCTGCAGTTGAGAACTCAGAAAAACAAAAATTAAGAACATATGCGGTCTCCTCAAGCCCCAAAACTGTATCAGCAAAATGTGTTCAGGAGCCTCAAAGGGTTTTAGTGACATCTTTTATTTCATTATTTACTTCAAAGTTGTCTTTAAAACTAAGCACACAGAGAAACAAAGCCTAGAAACGGACTGGCTGTGTGTTCACAGAAGTACAAACACCACACGGTATGTGCTAGCAGGGCTGCTCTGAAGACAATTACAAAGAATTGGAATCACAAAATCAAGTGGTTATCTTATGAAGTTCTAGAAAAATAGATTTTTTTATATTCAAATGCAAGTTTAAATATTTTCCCTTCAGCAGTCGTTCTAGCAAAACCAATTTTGGCAGCACAAAAGGGAAAAAAAGAAAGAAAAAAGAAAACAAAGAAAGAAACAAACATAATAAAAATACACATCAGCATCAAAGGTCAACACAAGGTCAAAGGTGAGAGTTCAAGCATCAGAGAAGCTGAAGAGACAGGGATTTGGACGATGTACTTGACGCCACATCGACATGCTTTAGGCACAACGATGAACAAACGGCAGGAATCTAGAAAAAAAAACAAACCAGAAAGAGGGAGACCCACTGAGTTACACAGAGCAATACATCCAGACAGAGAGAACAGGACACTCACTGTGCACAGCCCTGGAATGAGGAGGTGGGGCAGGGCAGGGGTAATGACAGGGAACTTCTGCACATGCTAACAATGGACACAGGGAAAAGTTAAAGGACATGGAGGACACCAAGAAAACATCCAACTGCCAGAGACAGAAGGGAAACTAAGGCTTGGATTTCCTGCAAAGCACCCAACACATCAGAAAAGATGGTCTCTGGGGGAGCAGGGACTCAGCATTGCTCCCACTCCCCAGTCAAGACCTGAGGCGAGGGAGCAGAAGATGCTGACTTGAATGGGGAAGATTCTTTAGGGTAGAGGGCCAGAGTTTCCTGCTTACTCTTGGGACGGCCCTTTTTCTCAGAAATCCAAGCCCTAAGCTTCCACACAGGCCCTGGCCACTCATGTGGAACACAGGAGAGTGGTCTGGCTGCACTGAAGGCAAATCAATGGCATGATATAATCTGAGTAAGAAACAAAACTAGCAGAAAACACATCGTAAGTGAAACCTCCATACAACAGAAAAGGACTGCTTAAGACTTGACTTCAGTCTCCACTCTGAGCTGAGCCCTTTCACATCATGAGACTTGCAGGGGAGCTACTTCACAAAACCATCTTTGGCCTGGGGAGAGAACTGTGCTCAAGGGCAGTGCTACTGCTGTGCTAATGCACTGGGCAAACGGGGAGAACAGAAGTGCGGGGGTCTCACCAGCAGGTTAACTGCTTGAGCAGACCATGTCCCTGCTGGGGCTAGTGCTCCTTTTAGAAACCACAAGCAGGTACAGAACTTCGGAGTGTGTACCAAAGCTGGTAGAACCACTTTTGCCTCTAAGCCATGAATAATATGGTTTCACGAGGTCCTAGAGTCCAGGACCAATCTGTGGAAATGGGAGAGGTGGAAGTAAAGGGGAGGAAGAGGAAGGGCATAGCGTTCTGGCCAAGGAGGAAGACAGAACAGAAGGTTAGGAGACACAGCACTGGCAGCACCCAATGGAGCACAGCTCTCGCCTCCGCCAATTCACAGCATTAATGTTAGCCTTCCCCTCGGGCAGGTTAGCTGGGCTGCAAACGGTCAAAGAAAAATCAGTAGTTTCAATCATACACAGCACCCTGTGTGTACAACAATCACATTCTGGATTCTACAAAATCCTGGCCTTTTCCAGAGATATAATTTAGGTAATAAATATTCTCCACCCCGGAGCTGTATAAAACTTCTATAAAAATAGAAACGACATTCTTGGTTCCAGCTGGTTGGGATTCAGAACATCGCCTGCCCAACCTAGCTTTTTTTTTCTTTTTTTTTTTTCTTTTTTCTTTTTCTTTTTATTTTTTGCATTTATTTAAAAAAATCCCATCATGACCCTGGAAACCTTTAGAACAGTTTTATCTTGAAATACAGGACACATTTCTCCCAGTGTGCAGAATTCAAGTTTACGTAGTTCAGCTTAAGAAGTATGTTTCACGTTCCTTAAGAGGACAACAGGCCCAAGTTATCACTATGAGAAGAGAACAGCTGTCCCAGCTTCAATGGGATAATCCAACACCAACAACTACCTGTGTAACAGCAAGACAGTCAACCCCTGTCTATTACCGACAGGGACATGGCAATGAAAGAGCCCCCACCTGACTTTAAAAAAAGCAAGGCAACTCCTTTATTCTGATCTCTGCTTTTAGGGGCCAGGACTTATAATTTAAGGTTTAAGCCTCCAGGGACCAAGGAACCCAGGCCCTGGCTGTGACTGATAGTTGTATGCTAATGGTGCTACCTCTGTTCTGGTACACATGCCCAAGAGTGCTTTTTTGAGCAGAAGCAGAGCCCAGGGGCTGTGTAGGACACAGGCAAGGGCTGCAGTGAGACCTGTGGGAGGCAGCAGGGAGCAAACTATAAGCACAGTGACAAAATGAACGCAGCAATACTGAGGTAAATGAACACTCAAACCATATGGGGGCTGTAAAAGTCCTGTACTCTCTTCTGTCCCCAGGGGCAGAAGAAGGGGCTGGAGTGGTTAGAAGAGGGGTCTGCCATACAGCTATGGTAATACAACCAATGGGACAGGTCAATCAAGGAGGCAGGTGTGAATTTCTGCACCTTCTTGAGTATTAGGCTCTGTCCACTGGCAAATGTGGCATCTTGGCTTTGTAGGGCTCTTGATTCAGGTATGCCAAGAAGCAGGATCCTCCTCACCCAACTAGATTTTGATCACTCTACCCATGAATAGTGTTCCTGTTGGATAGATGCTGCAAGAGCTTCTTAGATCTGCCCTGATGAGAAAATTGTGGCTTGGGAAGTAGTCAGTATTCCTTGTTGTGGTAACTACAAGGAAGCAACCAGGAAATGTCTGCAATAAACTTTCTCCAAAAGGGGCTGTTGGAAATGGGACATGGTCTAATTTCATGTTAAAATACAATAAAAATGAATGACCTCTTTGGCTGCGTCCCCCAAACAGCCACCAGCCAGGCAGGGCAATGCAATAGCACTGGTGAGTTGGGATAGCTAGTACTGGCTATCTCCTAGTTATTCGCATATTTCAGGGTAACTTAAGAGGTGCTTTATTTTCTGAGAATTGCTGGCCCCCCCTTTAAGAAAGAAGGGCAGAAATCCAGGATGAAAATCTGAAAAAAAAAATAGGTGGTAGCTCAGTATCTCCACAGAAAGCAGCTAGTTATGGAGCAATGTCTATATCTAGCTGCCAGGGCTCTGGGCATGAAGCCACCTCAGCTGCTCCATCCCCACTGCTCTCCAGGGCTTAGCTCTCATTCTGCCTATCAGTGCACTCATGGAAGTTGATTCTGGGGATCAACCTTTTATTCTACTCAGTCCTCTTACGTGGTGGTTTGGGGAAAATTCTGATTATCTTTTTCAACCATTTTCCCCCTTCCCCAGGGTGTTTGGTGTTGGTCCTTCTCAACACACTGGTTACAAACGCAACAAACTTTAAATAAAGAGAAAAAGAAAAACAATAACAAAAACAACAAAAAACCCCCTCAGGATATGGCACCTAAACTCCAAAGTAAAAACACTGGAAACCAAATCACAAACTTGTCCTCTGTACGAAGCGAAACTCCCACAGAAGGCAGTAGCTGAGTCTTCAGGGCAAGCTGTGCCTGCGAGAGTGGCAGGGATCAGGGTCCAGGGCTGTCAACACACAGCCTTTGGGCTTCGAATCATTAAGGGTGCTCCTCCCACACTTACCAGAAGACCCTCTCACTCCAGTCTCAGGAGGGAGCACGCTCAGTAGGGCTTGCTGTCATTCTTCGAACGTTTGAGCTGCACTTTAAGCCTCTTCATTCCAATCTGAAAGCCATTCATGGACTGGATGGCAGCTTGAGCTGAGACAGGATTGTCGTAACTTACAAAACCTGTGTATTAAAGCAGAAACCTAGGTAAGGCACCTAACAAGGCAAGGCGTATCAGTCCCCCTTATGCAAGAGATGCTTTATGTGTTTAGTCTCAAGTCCCAAATTGTTCTCAACAGGAACAAAACTTTTAAAATGATATCATGTGAAACCACTTAGGTTCCCAACAATACAGCCTGGCATTTACAAGTACTACCCTTTTCTTTTATCTTTCTTTTTTGCAAGCTATTTCCATATTATTTCTTCCTGGACTAGTACTGTGAGCAGGAAACATCACCTCCACTACAGAGATGAGAAAAAAGAGGCCAGATAATCTGCCTGAGGCCATCTTAAGCAACAGCCAAAACTCAGTTCCAGCTCTTTCTGCTGTCAGCCCCTTCTCTTTCTCAGTGGCAAAATGCTCAACCCCATTCTGATACCAGAAGAGAAGCCAACATACCAAAACACTTGCTCAGACTTGTCTGCTTATCTATAAAAACCTTGGCAGACACGACATTCCCAAAGGGCATAAACATCTGCAGCAGGTCCTGGTCTCCAAACTCCTGGGGCAGGTGATAGATGAACAGGTTGGCTCCTTCTGGACCTTCAAATACCCAATGATTGGAAGAGTATTGGTGTTAAGCATGCTCATCACCCTCAATGAACTTTCATTTCCATCTATACTAAAACTGGCACAAACCCAACAAATAAGAGTCTTTGAGGGAACTAAATAGATTCTCTAGATCCAAGGCAGGGAACCCATGGCTAGATTCTTCCCCTCAATGTTTAGCCATGTGCCATCTCATGGAAGGCTGTTAAAAGTTCTACCTTGCTAGAGGAAGGTATGCAAACATAACCTAGCAGGCAGGCCTGCATGTAGAGCAGTAAAGAAACTGGAGGCCATAGGGAACAAGAAAAAGAAGCATGAAGGGTTGTAATCAAAACAAGTTTCAGCCTATAATCCTACCAGTCAGGGAGTTGAGACAGGAGAACCTCAGCAAATTCAAGGCCAGCCTGGGCTACACAGTGAGACCCTCGTCTCAAAAACCAAGCAAACAACAAAACAGGTTTCAGGGCCTGGAGTGATGATACTGTGGTTAAGAACATTTGTTGCTCTTATAGAGGACCCAGCATCCACATGCCAGCTAATAACCCTCTAAAACAACAATAACAACGCCCCCTCCCCCAAATAAAAGCAGATTCTTGTCAAAGGCAATAATTCTTTTTAAAAATATTTATTATTTAAGCGTGGTGTGGTGGCGCACGCCTTTAATCCCAGCACTCGGGAGGCAGAGGCAGGCGGATCTCTGTGAGTTCAAGGCCAGCCTGGTCTACATAGTGAGTTCCAGGACAGCTGGGGCTACAGGGAGACCCTGTCTCAAAAAGACAAAAAAAAAACTTATTATTTTTAGTTTCATGTGTATGACTGTTTGCCTGCTTGTAAGTACACCACAAGTGTACAATGCCTCTGGAGGTTAGAAGAGGGTGTTGGATCCCTTGGAACTGGAGTTAGAAATAGATAGGTGCTTAAGAACAAAAAGTGGTGTTAACCATTAAGCCATCTCTCCAGCCCCAAATGCAGTGATTTTTCTAAAATTTTCTTTTAAAATAATTTTATTTTATTTTTTTGTCTTTTTTGAGACAGGGTCTCCTTGTAGCCCCAGCTGTCCTGGAACTCGCTATGTAGACCAGGCTGGCCTTGAACTCACAAAGATCCTCCTGCCTCTGCCTCCCAAGTGCTGGATTAAAGGCGTGAGCCACCATGCCCGGCTATTACTTTTATATGTATGCATGTACTGCCTGCATGTAGGTAAGTGTACCCGTGTCATGCAATGCCCACGGAGGACAGAAGAGGCTGCGGATCCCCTGGAACTGGAGTTATGGACAGTTGTTAGCTGCCATGTGGGTGCTGGGATTCGAATATAGGTCTTAACTGCTGTACTATCTCTCCAGCCCCCCAAATGCAGTAATTCTCTCTTTTTTTTTTCTTTTTCTGTCTTTTTGAGACAGGGTCTCCCTGTAGCCCCAGCTTTCCTGAACTCACTATGTAGACCAGGCTGGCCTTGAACTCACAGAGATCCACCTGCCTCTGCCTCCTGAGTGCTGGGACTACAGGCGTGTGCCACCTCCCCGGGCTGAAATGTAGTAATTCTAATACTTTCTTTTTTATTCAAAAACTTCAGCCCCACCCTAAGAGGGTATCTAGAGGTTCTGACCCACGTCACATCCATCAAACATTCCCAAGGCACACTTTACTTCACAGTAATTCTTGGTCTATTTCTGGCCTTGGACTTAGTTTGATTAACTACTTTAACGGTTCTCTTGGCCTTTGCCTTGCCTTTCAATTTTGAGGCAGGAGTAACCCACCCACCAGTGACCCCAGTCTCCCTTGGCACTCACCTTCCTTCTGGCTTCCAGCAGCACCAATACTCTGCTGTGTCAATAAATTCTGGTTGTAGAGAGTAGGGAGTGCTGCGGCAGCATATTGCTGGATACCAGAGTATGCCTGGGTGAGGGCTTCCATGGTGCTCCCAGTGCCATTGGAAAGGCCACTGTTGCCCAGGCCACCATTTAAAGCAGCCATCCCTTTGTTGGAGAAGAGCAAGATTAATATTCAATTGATGCCAAAGACAGATTATACTTAGAGAGATATCTAAGGGAACCCCACCCACCACTACCACCACACACACATTTGCCCTTTCATCTCCCTTTTAACTTCTCATTGAGTGACAATATTCATCTAACTAGTCAAATTTCAGAACATTCACCAGGCCTTGCTACTAATGTGAACATTAAAAAAATGCCTTATTGTGCCAGGCATGGTAGTGCACGCCTTTAATCTCAGCATTTGGGAGGCAGAGGCAGGCAGATTTCTGTGAGTTCAAGGCCAGCCTGGTCTACATAGTGAGTTCCAGGACAGCTGGGGCTACAGGGAGACCCTGTCTCAAAAAGACCAAAGGAAAAAAAAAAAAAAAAAAGCCTTATCTGCTGGGCGTGGCAGCATATCCCTTTAATCCTAGCACTCAAGTGACAGACACAGGCAGATCTCTGAGAGTTTGAGACCAGCCTGGCTTACATAGCCAAGTTCCAGGCTAGGACAGTCAGGCCTACAAAATGAGACCCTGTCTCAAAAACAAAACAAAATAAAACAAAACAATAACCAAGCAAACAAATTAAAAAAGTGCTATGTTGTCATGACTGCTTTCTAGCACAGGGAAGAACTGACCCCACTCACAAATACCTAGACCCATTTTTTTTCCCCTTTGACTATTTTACTTCTTTCTCACACAGAGCTGGAATGTGGTTAAAACAAGAGTCCTGGGACCAGGGATTAAGAGTGCATATGATCTGTAAGATGTGCGTAAACTCTACCATGAAAATAGCTGCCAACGTTTACTGAACGTATTCGATGCTCCAGGCAATATATGCAATGTGTTCATCACTACTTTACCTATGTTCTCATTTCACTTCTTAGAAACCATTCAACCTTATAGATGAGAAAATGACTAGAAATGTGACCCAAGGTTACAGCTAATCAGCAGAGATTGGGTTTAACTTAAGTCTGACAAATTCTCACGATTATTTCTAAGTTTTCTGGGCCAACCAATTATTCTAGTGGTACACCTACACCAGGGTTAAGATGTACCTACAAAATTCATGGCCTGATTAACAACCAGGAGCTGCCCATTACCTGCCAAAGAGCCAACGTTGAGGCCTGCTGTTGCTCCAGCTAATGTTTGCAGAGCTCCAAGTGAGGCTATGGGGTTGACAGAGTTACTGCTGCTGGAGCTAGGTGAGGACCCTGCTATTAGAAATCCAGGAGTTAAACAAGCTATCATTTGCTTTCTTTTGTCAATAGGAACCAAAGCACAAGAATGATACTATCTAACTCCTATATTTGCAAAAAGGCTTTTACAATTACTGATTCTGGTAACTGTCCTCATAGGTCAGAGACAAATGATAATTACAGCAAACTAAAAATTAGGAGATTTACTTAAGTCACAAAATAATGTCTTTGGGCTGATGAGGATGGTTCAGTGGGTAAAGGTATTTGGCTGTCAAGCCTAATGACTTGAGTTCAATTTCCAAGACTTACAAGTAGAAAGGGAGAACCGAATCCTACAAGTTGTCCTGACCTACATACATCAGATGCAGCATGAGCATGCATAAACACACACACACACACACACACACACATGTAATTTTTTTAAAAAAGAAGGGGGCTGGAGAGATGGCTCAGGTTAAGAGCACTGACTGCTCTTGCAGAGGACCCGGTTCCATTCCCAGCACACACATAGCGGCTGTGAACCGTTCTTAACTCCAGTTCCAGGGGTATCAGAAGCCCTCTTCTGACCTCCAAGGCATTGCATGTCACGGGTGTACTCACTTACATGCAGGCAATACACTCATACACATAAAAAATAAACAAAATATTTGAATAAAAAAAGATGAAGAAGCCAGGCATTGGGGTGCATGCCTTTAGTCCCAGCACAGAGGAAGCAGAAGCACACAGATCTCTGTGAGATCAAGGCCAGCCTGGTCCACATAAGTGAGTTCCAGGCTGGCTAGGGCTATAGGGAGACCCTGTCTCAAAAAGACCAAGACAGAGAGAGAAAAAATGGTACATGAAACTTTGTTGTTCATAATCGAACTCCTCTGAAGAGAGGTGTTAATTCCTTTCCAAGATGGCATGCCCCTCCCCTTAACCTCTGCCTTTAAATGGAGCATCTGCTCAAGGCAAACAATGGCACAGTGGTCCCTATTATACACTTACCTGAACTGGTAAGTACGCTGAGGGGACTGCTGGATGTAGTGAGAGCATTGGTACCACTTGGTGTGTTCTGAGCTGCACTAGCTGCTGCAGCTAGAGCAGCCAAATTCTGTAACTGCATTGCATTTAACCCTGTAATATTCAAAACAAGACGTCAGCCAGCCTGACATTTATTCCAGCAATGCCTGAAGACTGGTCCCAGACAAAGAGTCACTCTTCTATATAAGCCTTCCAAGCTATGCTATGGGGTTCCAAAAAATTCAGTTATCATTCAGTAAGAAACTAAAATGCTGGGGTTCTAACTCAATGCTCTAGACTACATGCTTAGCATGTATGTGGGCTTGAGTTCAATACCCTGGAGGCAAGGTTTAAAATCACTTCTTTAGAGAAGAGTTAGCTTATCCAATAGCAATAGCCTTCCCAAGTGAACACTTATAAAAGGCTGGACTACTGAATAAGGAGCACATTTGTAGCCTATCATGGGGTCAGGAGCCCAAAGGAGCATTGCCAACCTACAGTAAAGTATTGAATTGTATCTAAGCACCTCATGCACACTTAAGGTGATGTGCTCTGTGCAATGGAGGGGAAAAAGCAAAAAACAAAGCAGAGATTCAGAAGGTTCAGAGGGAGTAACAGGAAAAAATATGTATAAGAACCATAACAGGAGAAGCAATAGAGAAAAAAAAAAAACTACTTCGACAGCAGATTAATCATGAGAAGAGAGAAAAACCAAACCAAACATAAGGGAAGACTTGTAAGTAGAGCCTAAGGAACACTGAACCAACAAATCTGAACTGTGCTATGGATGTCACAAACCATTTTACTAATGATGGAAAGACTATGGGGGCAGGAAGTAGAGAAAATAAAACCAACAAACTAAATTCCCTAGGACAAAGTGAACTACTACCAAAATTTCAAACTGCAAATGCAGTTTGCTGAACATCTTCCCTTTCTCAAATACCCATGACTATCCTTACCCCATCCTAGCAGCAATAAATATAGGCAGTTGTGAAACTGCCTTGCTTTCTGTCTCTACAGACTTTTCTAATAGTCCTGGCTCTCCTCTATCTGTAGAGCCTCATTTTGTTATAGACCCATGTATTTGTCGTGTTGTACCTTAACAACAACAGCATGAATTAATCTGTAAAATAACATATGCAAGACACAGGTGAACTCCTTAGGATCTAGCAGTTTTGGGTAAGCTATTTACATAGAATCTGGAGTTGACTTTTCTACACTGAGTTACTTTACTGTAGGAATAGGATTTTTGGAATTTTCTCTCTACCTGAATGGCCCAACCCTGGATGGTCCCTAGGGGCTGTTTGCTATCTTCTTCCCCTACAGTGACTTCAGAGTGAGGGATATCAGACAACCTTGGAGCAATGTGGCACCAACTAACAAGAGAGCCACAAGAGAAACAAAGCAGTTGAATCCTGAGATATTCACCTTATACAACGAGTGAAAAAGTTTTTGCACAAATGGTACAAGGTTCTCAGGCTGTTGGTAGCTGGGTCTGCTGGCCCGGGTGCTGCTGCTCCTCTGCAGCAGTGAAACACTTACCTCCCATTGGGTGGAGGCTGCTCAGGGTGTTGAGGTTCCCAGAGGAGGCGGTCTGCTGAAGGAGCTGCAAATAAAGCTAGACATTACACCAAAAAACAGAACAAGAGTGAGAGTGAGGGCTGGTTCTGCATCTGGGATAACTCTACAGCACAGCAAAGCAAGAGTGCAGAGGCCCCCAGAGAGAAGAAAGTTGAAGACAAGCTCCCAAGCCAACAGGAGACTTATGGCATCACAGGACAAGAGCAACATAGCTAAAGCTCTGGTCCCAAAGAGTGTGGTTTTGACAGTGAGCTAAGCTCAAGTCTCTGAGCAGCAGAATGCAACACAGCAGAGGACAAAAAAAGCACAGAGAATAAGCTAGACCCATGCAGCACAACTGACTGGATTAGTGTCTGCTCTGAATGACTGCCATTTCTAGTTTCTCTTACTCAAGTTCTCCTTAGTTAGGACAACATATCTTACTCTTCAGATTATAACCATCTACTTCATACTCCCTCCCTCCCTTCTTCTTCCCTCCCTCCCTCCATTTTATCATCTATCAATCTATCTATCATCTATCTACCTACCTATCATCTACCTACCTACCTACCTATCTATCTATCTATCTATCTATCTATCTATCTATCTATCTATCTATCCATCTATCCAACCATCTAATCACCAGTCTGTCAATTTGTCCGTCCATCCATCCATCCATCCATCCATCCGTCCGTCCGTCCGTCCGTCCGTCCATCCATCCATCCATCCATGTAACTGTCCAGCCATCCACTAATCCATCTAATCCATCATATTTTTTGGCTTGGAACTATGTAGACCTGGCTGGCCTCGAACTCACTGAACCCGGGTTCTCTGCCAGAGTTGCCAGTGCTCTTAACCATGGAGCCATCTCTCTACCCTATTGTTTTGGTTTTCTGTGGCAGGGTCTTACCATGTAGCTATGGCTGGCCTTGAACTCAGAGATCCACCTACCTTTGCCTTTTGAGTGTTGGGATTAAAGGAGTTTGCTTATCACACCTGGCTGGATTCAGTATGTTTTTCCAAGGATTGTCTGTGAGCTTACTGAACTCTGTATCTTGACAAACCACAACCTCCATCTAATTAACCTGCTGAAATGCTCCATTCAAACTCAATTACTATTCTTTCTCTTTTTTTTGGTCTTTTTGAGACAGGGTCTCCCTGTAGCCCCAGCTGTCCTAGAACTCACTATACAGACCAGGCCGGCCTTGAACTCACAGAGATCCACCTGCCTCTGCCTCCCAAGTGCTGGGATTAAAGCCGTACGTCTCAATTACTATTCTTTATAGAAAAACTGATTATTTTTTTTAGATCCTCTACTCAACTTATTTACCATTCCTATAAACATCTGACTTGGTTCTTCTGCCATCATGAATCTCTCTAGGGCAGGGTTCATGGATGGGTTTCAGGAGGTCAACAAACCTCTAGAAAGAGAATGGGGGAAAATGTGCACACATATAACTGTTACTATTTAAAGGGGCCAATACCCCCACAAAGGAGCACTGCACTAGTCTGTAAGAGATCAGTTGGTTCAAATCCACACAGTCCAGAAAGAGCCTCATAATTAATGACAATGTACTCTCACAGTCCACTCACTCACATGCCTTCATTTTTGTATTCTGAAATACCTTGAACAATGTGTTCAGTCACAACCAGTGGACTGTGCATACTATACTGTACTTGTTTCCTCCATTCCCTCCCTAAGCTCTTAGAGCAGGATCATGTCTAACTAACAAAGACCACAGCTCTTGGCACAGACTATATCCTGTACTTGTTGGGTATACTAACAACAGCAGAGAAGCTTCCCTTAAGGGGCCTAAAAAATGTACAAAAAGCAAATGTGTATCATGGAAATACTTTTCAAAGCACTATTCTGACAGAAGACTAAAATCTCTTTGACCTTATACGCCATGTTCTTAACTAAGAAATAATCTATTGAAATATAACATTCTACCTTTTTTTAAAAGCAAACTTTAGAGACATATTACTAGTTATAATAAACTTGCAGTTTTTTGACATTTTAGAAATATGGAAACCAGTGGGCAATAAATTAACTAAACTCATCATTGGTCAACCGAAATAATTACTTTTCCTGTTTCCATACAGAATTAGTGTTTGAAAATGAGGGCTAAGGAATAAATGACTGTACAAATCTAGTGATTTCAGTACCTGTGGCTTCAGAGGGTTTTTTGTTTGTTTGTTTGTTTGTTTTTGAGATGGTCTCACTATGTAACTGCCTCCCAAGTACTGAGATTAAAGGCATGTGTCACTATTCCTGGCCTGTAATTCTCACTTAATATATCCATGTTAATTACTTTTCAGTTTGTTGAAAGAGGCATTTATTATGCTTTTCAGGGAAGACTCAGAAGGATTTTAATGATACTATCTACATCTTGTAGAATGAGACATCGAAAATGATGCTGAGAAGTTAATAATAACAATAATAATAATTTTCTCAAGAATTTTTCTCTCGGAGATGGGAAAACCTAAAACTTTTATAACTCTTTAAATCAAAACCAAAATTTCACTGTAATTGTAGCAAACACCTCAAGACAGAAACAAAGGCACATGAGCAAAGAGTGAGCAAGGAAAGGAAATGACTCAGAGAACATCATACTGCCTAAGTTTTTATGTAAAATGTCTAAATGCCAAAGGTTGCAAGTGTCAGTTTGTTAGCAAGGGACAGCAGAGGAAGAAACAGCCGGAAGCTTGCACAGTCTGCAGAAAGCAAACCACAAGGACTCACTGCTAAATACTGGGGTCCAAGAGTATTCAGACCAGCAAGGTTTCCCCACACAGATGCTGCACTGATTTGCTGCATCTGCTGCTGTAGCTGCTGGGCCATTCTCTTCTGTTCTTTGTCCTTCTGGGTATCAGCAAATTTTACCACCATAGGTGATGAGCAGCCCTAAGAAAATACCAAAATCAAAGGGTCAAATTCTTTCTTCTGGGGCTGGGAGGATGGCTCAAGTGGGTAAAGATGCTTGCTGCCAAGCCTGACAACCCGAGTTTAATTCCCCAGAAGCACCCCCAGGGGAAGAACACCAACCCGTACAAGTTGTCCTCTGAGCTCCAGATGCACATTGCAGTGCGTGTGTGTGTGTGTGTGTGTGTGTGTGTGTGTGCCACACACAAAATAAATGCAAAAACTATTTTTCAAAATTTCTTCCTTTTGGGCTGAAGAGATGGCTCAGCAGTTAAGAACACTGGTTGTTCTTGCAGAAGACCCGGGTTCGAATCCCAGCACCCACATGGCAGCTAACAACTGTCCGTACCTCCAGTCCCAGGGGCTCTGACAGCCTCTTCTGACCTCTGCGAGCACTGCACAACACGGGGGCACTTACCTACATGCAGGCAATACACACATACACATAAAATAAAAAATTTCTTCCTTCTGCATTGCAGGCGGGGAAGAAAATCCTTCATTGTTAATATGCAGGCTGTATTGTAATTATCGTCACTGACAACTGATTGTCCTAATAGATACTAGTGGCAAAAGACAATGTAAAGGGGCAATTTCCAATGGCAATTTCATTTCTCAGTTATTTTTGAGATGGGGGACTCACTATGCTATTCAAGCTGGTCCTAAACTCCTGTGCTCAAGTGATCCTCCAGCCTCAGTCTCCTGAGTAGCTGGCCTATAAGTATACACTACCATATCTGGTTCCAGTAAGTTAATTTTAAGAGAGCATCAAGTTTTTTTCACCTGGAGAGACTGGTTATTTTAAATTTTAGGGTAGTGCAATGTGCATGCTGCTGAACTCTGATAGGCATGTTCCAGCGTTGTCAGGCAAGGGGTTCTTCCCTCTTATACCTGTCTGCTCCTACCTCCATGGTTTGTGCTTGGTGCATGGCCTTGATAGCTGTCTGTGCCATGGCTCTTGTTGTAAAAGTCACAAATGCACAACCTGGTAAGAGAAGAATATTCGTTTGCAAATATATATAACAGAACACCTACTGTGTGCCCACTATATTAGCAGTACAACTATGATCGCACCCTTTGGGGGCTCATGAGCTGGTACAGTAGACACATATGTCTCAACAGGGTACTAAAATAGGAAATAGGAAAGAATGTTTGAGAGGGACTGGAGAGATGGCTCAGAGGTTAAGAGCACTGTATGCTCTTGCAGAGGACCTGGGTTAGATTCCCAGCACCTATATGGTGGCTAACAACTGTCAGTAACTCCAGTTCCAGGGGATCTGACGCCTTCTTCTGACCTCTGTGGGCACTGCACGACACGGGTGAACCTACCCACATAGAGGCAATACACTAGTACACATAAAACTAAAAAATGAAAAAAAAAAAAAATGAGAGAGAAACAAGGATCCTAAGCTGTCTTGAAGAGAAAAAAAAAAAAGGAAATGGGAGGAGAAAATGGTTTCACCAACACCAAAAGAGACACTGAGAGGACAGAATGTGACTCCTTAGGAGACTTGGGAGAACATTAATCAATCAATAAGAGGAATGACAAAAACCTAGGAGTATACAGCAAGAGGCGGCTGGCCCAACTTCTTCATCTATGGTGGTTAGGGATCTACCTTCTATTAGTTCAGTTTAATAAAGAGACTACACATTGAGAGAATTATCTTTTAAAAAGCTGTAAAATGTACCACCTCGGCTCAAGCCATCAGGTCCCCGCAATATCCGGCACTCTTCTATCTGTCCAAATGAAGAGAACATGACTCGAATGTCGTTTTCAGTGCACTTCTTGGAAATCATACCAATAAACAGTTTCCTGTCTTCCACAGCTGAAAGAGTCAAACAGAATAGGCTTGAACATTATCACTAGCATAGATTCAACTCAGATCTCTTGGGTTTGAATCCTATCAGGGATACAATGATATAACTATGGTAACGTATTTATATATATTTTGAAGTATTTAGATGAAATGAAATACGGAGAATTTGTGCTCTTGAAGAACACAATCTGATTAACAGATTACCAGGTTTATTTTAAAGGCTAGTCTTGTGGGTATGAAATATAAGGTTTGCCAGGTGTGGTGGCACAGGCCTTTAATCCCAGCACTCAGGAAGTAGAGATAGGCAAATGTCTGTGAGTTTGAGACCAGTCTGTTCTATACAGTGAGTTTCAGCCAGCCAGGGCAATAAACTAAGAACCTGTCTCCAAAATAAAAATAAAAAGGGGGTGGGGTGTCAATTGAGACCTTGGTCATTTTTGGTCTAGCTGAAACTGGGAATTCAAAATTAGCATCAAAGCCTATGAGCTTCGTGTCAACACTGTAAGAACTTGCGGCACTGCTCTGCTATACTTCGTGTGCAAATGAACCTTTACATGCCAGCTGCTATCCAATTTTCTACGGCTTCTACAGGAATGAATCTACACAATTTCATTTGGGAAGATGAAATCCTCAAGGATAACACCAAGTATAGCTGTCAGTAGTGTAGTTCCTGGGATGGTTTGCTGGTTTCTATGTAGCTTTTTCCATGTTGGTTTAAGACAAATTCTCCCCGAGCAATAAAGAGCACAGGTTTTCCTCTGAACTTTTTGTTCAATTCATGAACTAGCCAGAATTGCAATTTTGGGGAAGATTTCAGCTTTGGGACTAAAACAGATAATATTTATAGCTTTATGATCACCAACAAATTAAATTTCCTTGACTGTCATACTCAGCTCCTGCAGATGACACTGGTCTGAGTTCATCTCCAGCTCCAGAAACACCTGGGCGACAGCAGACAACTCATCTAGCTTCTTGCTGCTGGGCTTCAATATCGTGGCAACTAGCTGAACACAGCCTTATCCCTACCGATCACCAGCTCAGGAAACTCTATGTTCTGAAATACCAGGAGTTCGCCTTCCCATCTTGCTCGTGTTGCCCTTTAGTCCTATCCATAAGAAATTATGCTTATCAAGGACATTCTAGTTCATTCTAGGTTATCTATTTGTCTGTCTAGTTGGTTGTTTTTTAGTAACCCAGGCTGGCCTCACACACCTGAGATCCTCCTGCTTCTATCTCCTAAATGCTTGTGACTATAGGTGTACACTACCACACCCAGCTAGTCTGTCCTAATATGATCTTATAAAATCTATTAATTCTATATTCCTTATTTGCCACATTGAGCCAATGTAGACTTTTGTAGCACAATTCAATGTAGATATCATAAGAACAGCAAACAGAAAAAAATACACAGAGCAGACTTGATGTTTGCTTACCATTGTTCTTTTCACTGTCAGCAGGTTTCATCTGTATAGGATGATGCATCTAAAAACAAAAAATCCATAGGTATTATCTTCATACCTATTAATGGCATTCAAAAATATAAATGAAGACTCTAAAAGGCATATGAAAACTACAGCGTTAAGAATCCTCTCTGAACTCATGTCTGCCTGATGATCTTTCCCCACAAAAATATAAGAATAGACAGAATGTGAGTCATGAATTCAAAATACCCACGACTCTCAGCAGTAAGAGAACTACTTTTAGTTTGTCTTCTTTTCTTTGTAATGTTCTCTTTCTATCCTCCTTTCAACATTAATTCTCAAAGCAATTACACCTTTCCTTCAAATGTTTTCCAGTATGTACTTGATATGTATAAGCATGCTCAGTGAGTAAAAATTATAATTGTTTCATTTTTACTTATAGAAACTTTCTTGGGGCTGAAGATGGCTCAGTGGTTAAGAACAATGATTGTTCTTGCAGAAGATCTGGGTTCGAATCCCAGCACCCACATGGCAGAACAACCATCCTTAACTCCAGGGGGTTCCAAAGCCCTCTTCTGTCCTCCATAGGTATTGCACGGGTACATTTATACACACGCAGGCAATACACTCATACACATAAAAGAAGAGCATTCTGAGCTTCTAATGCAGCTTTACGGGTGTAAAATGTAACAAAACAGCACCCTGAATAAAGGAGATTTAACAAAATCAAATCAGTGCCTTGAAAACATACAATTCCTACAATATTCCCATCACTATGCTAACTTCAAGAGGACTGAGTTACTTACAACTGGATAAAAGGAGAAGCTGGGGTACAGGATGTTACTTAGTTTTTTTTTTTTTTTTTTTTTTTTTTTTTTTTTTTGTTTTGTTTTTTTTTTTTTTTTTTTTTTTTTGTGTCTTTTTGAGACAGGGTCTCCCCATAGCTACAGCTGTCCTGGAACTCACTAATCTTAACCCTCTATGGTTATGCAAGACTGTAATCTCAGCTCTTGGGACAGTAGAGGCAGGAGGATCAGGAGTTCAAGGCCAGCCTGAGCTACATGAGACTTGTCTCCAGGGAGGCCTTTTTTCCCCTTTAATATGTTAAAAAAGGCTTTTTTTTTCACACAGAAGTTACTGGAGCAGCTAAAGAAGACTTTAGAGGCAGAGTCTCACTATGTATCCCTGCCTGGCCTAGAACTTAACTATGTAACCCAGTCTACCACCTGTGCCTCCAAGTGCTGGGATTAAAGGTGTACACCACCACACCTGGCCTTAAAGAAGACTTTTAATATGACTGGGAAGGGGCTAGAGTTAGAATACTTGCCTAGTATGCATATATAAGGAGACTAGAACAACAGAAAAATGCTTAAAAAGTAACATCCTCAGTCGGGTGTAGTGGTGCACTGAACTCCTGATCCTCCTGCCTCCACTGTCCCAAGAGCTGAGATTACGGTCTTGCATAACCACAGAGAGCTAAGGTGCTTCCTTTAGAATGCTTAGGTGCCATTCTATTTAATCTATCCAGGAACTCTAGGTATTATGCTGAGCAACAAGACAAAGCCACAAATAAGACAAAGTCCCAGACTCAGTTTGCAGTCTCCTGGGAGCTCCATTTTTCTTTGCTCTCTCAGAACAAACTACTACCTACAGCACAGTCAGTTTCTACATCTTAAACAGAAATATCACTTATTAAAGTATAGTTACTTATGAGCAAGACATTAACTTTCTTTTCTGAATTCTTTGTTCTATCAAATAATCAAGCTTCTAACAACACTTGGTGCTGTCTAAAACTTTGTAGATTTTGTGCGTTGTATCTTGATGAGGGATAGGAGGCTCTTATACAATGTTCTGACACTTGTATATTCCCATGAGATACAATAATTTTCTTTTAAAATCATCCTGCAGTTAGGATTTTGAATGTTTATGGGCAGACATTTTCAGAAACTAGAACTTTTATTTTTGGTGAACTATGCCAAATCTGGATCCTCTGCTACTAAGTAGGTTTCAAACTTAATAATCACATTTGCTCAAATCTGCACTATAGAACAATTTTCACAGAAAAATCACTCTGAAATTGGTCATTTGGAAAATGAGAATGTGTCTGTGTGTATGAGACAGAGCTAATGCTACCATCAGTCTCCTGACATGTCCATGCTGTGATATTTTTGGAAGCAGCCTAGTTTTTCTTTTCCTATTCATTTTGTAGGATGCAGTGAACAAGTTGCCTAATTTTAGTTCTTCTCAGTTGATAAACCATCCTGCAAGGCTTTTTAACACCAAGAAATCTGTGGGTATATGAACAGTCTTTATCTTTCAGCTTACTACAGTCAAAAGCCTCATGTGGCTGGTTTACTTCTATTTTAATCATTCCATTCTGAGATGAAATGAGGCACACAGATCTGATACTTGAGTTTAACAGCACTTACAAAGAACTGCACAGACCCATTTGACAAATTATCCTCATGAGGTCACCTTAATACTTTATTTTTAAGCCATTAAATATGTTTGGGTTATAAGATATAGCTACTATAAAAGGACGTTTTCCTCTGTATGACCACAAGAACACCCTGACCACAAGAGATGGAATATACAGTGTAAAAATAAAAACTCAGTTTCTTTTTACCGTTAAAAAATGCAAACATATGCCAGGCATGGTCGGGTACACAACTTTAATCCCAGTATTCAAGAGACAGAGGCAGGTGGATATCCAGGATATTGAGGGCAGCCTGGACTACTTAGTGAATTCCAGGCCAACTGTACCTACAGGGAGGCCCTGTCTTTAAAAGAAAAGCAAAAACCTGGGCCAATAAGACAGATCCGTGGGTAAAGGTGCTTGCTGGCGCCAAGTCTGGCAATTAGTTCACTAACTCCTGGTTATCCACATAGTAGAAGGAGAGAACAAACTCCCTCAAGTTGTCCTCTTACCTTCATTCATGCACTTGCACATATGCTTGCGCGCACATACACACACACGCACACACACAAATAACAAATTTTTTTTTAAAAAAAGGGAATCCTTACCTTTGCTCTGAGGAGGATTCTGGCTCCTATCCCTTAGGATGTTGATTTCATAGACAGCACCATACTGCTCAAAAAGCTCCCTCAAGTCCTTCTCAGACCAGGTCCGTGGAACCTGGCCCACAAACATCTTGATAGCATCAAGATCTGGTTGATCTGGGTGGTCCAGGGTGCCGTTCATTTTCTTTGAGCTGCATGAGACAAAGTGAAGCCTTATCCATACTGCTTATTTTACCGGAACGAGTCATTTGCTCTAAACATTTTCAAGTATTTTCTGAAAACACAGAAGGAAAAAAGTCTACTTCATTCACTACTTCTATTTAATGTACCTGAATTCCCTAGTCTGTTCACTCTACTAGGCACCAAACTAAAGTCATCATTTTGACTAGGACACACTGGGTTTTAACTAAGGAAGTGACAATCACTTAATCCTTGTCTAGTATAAAAAAACTGAGACCTTACAAAGTAAAGCTTCCAAAGTGAGATCAGGTCTTAATATTTGATTATAGTTAACAAATCTCCTTAAAAAATTTTAAAATTATAATCATTATTGTGCGTGTGCATTATGTGTGAATGTGTGTAGGCACATGCCACATCACAATCATGGAGGTGGGAGGACAACGTTGTGGAGCTGGTTCTCTCCAGTTCTCTCCTACCTTGACATGGGTTGTGGGGATTGAAGTCAGATTGTCAGGCTTGCCAGATGGCTTTATCCACTGAACCACTTCACAGGCCCAACTAACTTCCTCCGTCCCCCCTTTCCCCTTCTTCCCTATCTATCTACCTATCATTTTAAGTGCATGAGTATTTTGCTTGCATGTAAGTGTGCCCATGTCGTGCAATGGCCACAGAGGTCAGAAGAGGGTGTCAGAGTCCCTTGGAACTGGAGTTAGTCAGTTGTTAGCTGTTTTGTGGGTGTTGGGAATCAAACCCATGTCCTCCGCCAGACCAGCCAGTGCTCTTAACTGCTGAGTCATCTCCCCAGCCCAGCCAACAAACATTCTGAAATATCCATACAGTAACAAAGGATTACTGATTAAGGGATCCTGCCAGGAGTGGTGACATATACCTTTAGATCCAGAACAGAGTCACACAAGATCTCTGTGAGATGGAGGCCCACCTGGTCTACATAGTGAGTTCTAGGCCAGCTGGGGCTAAAAGGAGACTGTCTCAAAAAAGATTAAGATCTTTTTAAATCTACAAACAATAGATGGGTGTCCCTTTAGATGTTATTAACAGAAACACTTAATTTCCAAAATCTAAGAACTGATGAGAATTACTGGTCTTTGAAAGTGGGCTGTCTCACATAAATCCCAGTATTTTAAAGTTAACTCCATCTCTTACTAAACTTTCAAAAAATGATTGTGATGAAAACTGCCATCATCCTAGTTTTTTTCTAAATTATTTAACATAGTGCTGTTTCTCTAAGACCTCACAGTGGATTTTCTTACCAACTGTAACCATTTTAAAGTCCACAAATCCCTCCAGTTCCATCATATCTCTTAATACTCCTTTTCATTTTTTCAGTATCTAATTTTCATTTTTATGTGTTTAAGTGTATTGCCTGCATGTATCTAAGTGTACCCATGTCGTGTAATGCCTGAAGAGGTCAGAAGAGGGTGTCAAATCCCCTTGAACTGGAGTTATGAACCGCTTGCTGTTAGCCCCCATGTTGGTGCTGGAAACTGAACCTGGGTCCTCTGCAAGAGCAGCCAGTGCTCTTAACTGCTGAGCCGTCTCCCTAGCCCCAGCACTCCTATTTCAATACCCGTGTTCTGACTCTTGCCCTCACAAAGAATGTAGGGAAATTCTTACATTACAAACATTTCCACTAAAAAGGCACCACCTATTTCAAAGTCCTCCCTACAACTTCAAGATTTTTTTTTTTTTTTGAGACAGGGTCTCAAAATGTAAACCAGGCTGGCTCTGAACTCAGAGATTCACCTGCTTTTGCCTCCTAAATACTGAAATTATGGGCGTGCACCAACAAGTACGGCCTTATTTCAAGAGTTTACACTTAAAATTTAACATCTAAACTGTTAACAATTAAAATTAT